GTGGTGCGAGAATCTAGTATATGTGGAAGAGGCAGATGAGACGGTTCGGTTCAGTCATCATTCAATTCGAAGATATCTCTGACGAGATTCGAAAACCTTCCGAATAAACCGAGAGCTTTGGGATCATCATATTGGAGAGATATGTTTGACGTACCTTGACTTCGCCGATTTCAAGAAAGCTTTGGTGAAAAGGTCTAAGCCCAAGTTGACCAATATCTCCAATTATCCAGCTGGCATTGCAACAGAGACGATTCAAAATCTAGTCCTGGGTGTCAAGACAGCGAGAGTTGTTGCTTTTGTCAAAAAGTGGTTCCGAGGCTCAGACAACGGTTCCGTTGGCTACGACCCTCAGATGGTTCCAAAGGTTGCCGTCGGCTCTGCAATCACCCTTGACTACCCCTTCATGAAATACGCTTCATCTCAATGGGTCTTCCACACGACTGGTTTTCGATCTGGAAAGACCGAGACATGGAACCTGTGGAAATCTATGTTGCGAACCGAGCTGACGACATGGATGGATTTGAACTGGCAATCTAAAGATCCTGTCTCAACCACGGAAGATTGGCTGCCGCCAGAAGAACAAGCTGATCCGGAATTCGGCCGATCTCATCTCCTGTCATGGCACAAAGCTATTCTGCTGGCTGCATTCATTGAGCATCAGGCCTTAATGGACCACGCATTCTCAATACTTGGGCAACACCGCGCCCAATTGAGCTCGACCCTTCTCAGAGCCTTGATGTCTGCCAATCATATCACGATCGGCTTGCACTCGCCTCTTCTATTTACTCTGGAGGACTCGGACATACACGCACTTGTTGTCAATATCTTCTCTTGCTACATTGCTTCGGGAGGTCGCCCCGACGTCTCTAAGACTACTAAAGCTGAGATGTGTAACTTCAAGCCAAGTGAACGCCACATATTTGGTGTAGATCAAGATGTGTGCACAATACTGTGCAAAGGTTGGCGTACGCCAGTACAGCATGAGCAGATGCAGTTTTCCGCACGAATCGCGGTCCGCGAACTTGACGATGATCTTCGCAAGAACATATCCGATTTCTTTACTGACTTACTCTACGCCTGGGACTGGACGTTGCATGAAAAGACAATTGTGAATCTCAGCATTGAGCGGGGTGAAGAAGGGTGGGAAACCATAAGCGCCGCGATCTCAAGCTGTCAGGACACAAATCTGATTGGCACTCTGATGAGGCACAGCCTCTTTTTTGCTTCAACAGCGCAAGATTTTGTTTCGGTAGACATGTTGCTGGCAACAAAATCTGTCAAGTGGGCGAGATACGATCAGTTGGATTACGAAATTATCCAAAGCGCATTGGCATTTGCGGACATGAGCCCAGTAAGCAGAATAAGGTTTATTGACGGTTTTATCTATGGAGAGAAGCTGGAAAAGCCTAGGTTCATTATACCTAGCGATATGCGAGCAAAGTTTGAAGCGAATCGCCAGCTCACCGCCATTCTTGAGGACTCTGTTGAGAGAAAGCGTTGGGACATTGCTGTTGCCTTGTACAAAGGAGAAGCACGACTATCTGCTGCCTTGCAGAGTGTCAATCTAGTCTTGGGTTGTATAAATGACCGGCAGAGGCTCCAAAGTCGTTGTTTTGTGGAGGAGACGAGCAATGGAAGAGTACATATAGTGTACTGCCCCCGCCACTATCATGACAGGCACGACAAAGACCAGGCTCGACAAAGACATCGTCAATGTGAGGTGGATGGAATGAGTGTATCAGAGAATTCCGTTCCGATATGAGCTGTAGAACAAATTGATCTCTGCTGATATCACTCTCACAACTTCGGTGGAGTGATTGGCGTCACTGTGTCACGGGCTAGAGCCCGGCCGAGATCTCCGGCTTTGCCGGAGCAGCTACCGAGACCCGGCTCCGCCGGGTCCACTATTCTGCTGTGGCACACCGCCTAGCCCCGGTGTGCTTCACCGCCGCTAGGCGCCTATCCCTGTAAAGTCCCTTCTTCCTTCTTCAGCTTAGAATAGTCAATCGACAGCACCTCTACGTTGAACAAGCCTAGGGGCCAGCCCCTTACACACTGGCATCCAATGGAACCGCCCCCTTCCAGGTTTTCAAATAGCCGACTAGTTTTGGATTCATAAGCTGCGGTAGGTTTTCTTAATTCACTTGACCTCCCGCATTCAACATCGTTCCAGCATCAGTTGCATTACATATACAACACGGCGGGCGTTAGGAAGCTTAAACCATGGGAAAGCGCTGACGCAATATTCCCAAGAGGATTAACAGCTCCAACTACAAGCCCTGCCTCGAGTCCCAGTAGCAGAAGTCTATCATATAGCTTATGAAGCAATATCTACAACGCATTATGCAGTTGGTACGGACAATTAAGAGGCAGATAACCTCTATCATCCATGATCAGGGGCGAGTATTTATACCACTGGGAAAGTTTGATGGAGGGTCGGCTTCAGCTGAACAGATCTCTTTCGGCGCAACTCCCGTAGTTGCTTTAGGTATCAGGAGCTCTACCTTTTCCAAAGAGACTCCAAAAGACGGAATCAATAGGGCGAGGTTGGTTAGCGTGAGATGAGATTGTCTAAGATAAATGGCGGGAAATACGTCATGTTCTGCTAAGAAACGGTCGAGAGCTTCGTTCTGACTACAAACGAGGCACGAGTTGATAAAGGGTGGCACAGGGAATTAAGCCAGTTTCTCATTATACACTGATCTCCAGCGACTTATTTACACTTGAGAAGTTTAACAGTCTGTTCCCAGCGTACTACTCTGTCAAGAGACTTAACACTGCTATGACCCTAAATCTTCCCTCTAGGCTCTAACTATAGCGTATAAAGTATATGTATCGGAAATCACCGCCTCCAAGCGTATAGCTCTTGCTGTCTGGGAGCTGTGACTGTAACCTTGTCCGCCCTGTGATAGGTACTAGATTTAACGCCTGAGAGCATCGCCCAGCTGTCTGAACTGGGACTCGCTGAAACCGGAGTACTGCAAGCAGGCCGAGCCGCAAACGGTCGGATAGGGGGGAGCAACGCCACAGCCGCCGGTGAGAACGGTGGAGAGAACCATGCAGGTGGGAGGCACGTTATCGAACCGGGCAACTGGAAGAGCACGCGGTAAGTTAGCGAACATTCATCCAGAGAACCTCGGAATGTCAGAAACGTAGGTGGTTGCACGAACCGCCGGCTCCGGGAATGGAGGTGTAGATGGTGACTCTGCCCAGGTCGGTGTTACACATGTCAAAGTTGTACTGGGGGACGCCACAGTAGCCCGTGGCAGCGGCCGTCTCCAGCAGGCTCTCGCTCGCGGCACGGATCTGAACGGTCTCGTTCAGGCCCGGGATGATGGAGCTTGCGAGGTCTTCGGTCGAGAAGGGCTCGTTCGAAGGGGCGATCTTGCATGCGCGACGAACATAGCAGTCAACGATGGGACCAACGGCGGGGACCGTTATGGAAAAGATGGAAAGGAAGAGCGTCGGGAGAGCGGCGAGAGGTATCGTGGCTGCTGGTGGTGTTATTGGGTGGTAATAGAAACTGGTTCGTGTAGATGGTGTGTGTGGTTGGAACAGATGTTGGACGCTTTCATCCGGGGACCTAACGGCTATTTATCATGATATCAGTTGCCGCAGCCTGCCACAACGAGAACGAGACCTCGGCCTGCTTGCGTCGTCGATTCGATCTCGAGGTCTGTTTCTATGTTGGTTGATTGGTCGATTCGGCGCTCTGACGGGCCCTCCTCATCTCCCAGGGCCGGCTCACACACATCTACATGCATTGACAGAGCTGGCGCAATTCGACAGCCACGAGACGAGACGTACCTCGTTCTCTCGCGAGAGCCCTTTCTGGCGACTCAGGCGACCGCTCGGCTGTGTGATATCGAAATACCATGGGGCCCGGATGAGAGTCAAGAAAGGACAAACCGGCCAGCCGGCCGCCAGTCAGACAGAGAGAATCACTACGAGCCCATTCGGGCCAACTCCACGGAAAGAGCTTCGCCCCTGCCGCCATGACATGGATTTGAGGCCTGCGCCAACAACAATGAAAATATTGACTCAACGCCGCAGCTGTGCATGGCGAGTGCCCGACTGTATAGCTATGACGGAGAAATCTTATTTCGATCTGATGCTGCTACTGTCTTGACGCAGTGTTCGTCCGACCCCGCAGTTGTTGAGTTAAGTCTCGCAAGTTACAACTATGTTGTAAACTGACTATAGCGTACGGATTGCATACATCTAAATCAAACGGCTTCCATTCTCCTAAGTTGAAATCTAACCCAAAGGGTCGTTTTTCAATATAGAGACTGATATACTAAGCTAACATTAGTTTAGATAAGTAGGTTAGAGGTGGGTTAGTGTAATTGCACATTCCTTTAGGCGCGAGGCCGCCATAGATGCTTAACGGCATTATGATAAACTGCTGACTGGGTTAGCTGTATTGGTTGGAAGACTCAAAGTTAAGCATGCCAAGTCGCAGAGCGAGATCCTTAATGCTACGCTGACGGTGGTCTGTAGCTCATGTTGGACCAACACGAACTTCACCCATGTAAGTTCTTAGGACCCTGGCCATCATGTTGGGGTTCCACTTTGGGCCAACGCTGTACCCGTACCTAAGCATGATCACGGACAGGAGTTACAAATACGGCACGGAGAAATGAGCCGACTAATTACAGACCCGGCCCGGTGCCGCTCTGCTATTACGTTGATTTGCTACCTTGACTGCGCACAGTGCAGTGCCCTCCCGCCAAGCATTATGAGTCAGTGTGTAATCGTGTTTGAAGTTGGAGCTTTTGGCCGGTGGGACCATGTATTGCATCGCAATACAGTATGGTGTTGGACCAACCCGGCTCTCACCTTCCTTTACGAGCGATGTTGCTAGGATACTTTAGGTAATCGTAGGTTCTATGCATGGTGATGGCTCTTCTCAGTCTCTCCACTCTCGGGCAACGTTTTATAAATTCCATCACGGTTGACTGTGTGAAGTGACGGCTGCTGCCTGTTCTTCTTGCTGTAATATGGCGGCTATCATCTTTGCGTGGCCGATTGGCTGGTTCTTCTCGTCCGCCCTTTTATTTTTCCTCGGCCTACGACATGAATCTAGACGACGAAGAATAATTCTAGCCGCCCTTCACGTACTTGCAGTTGCTGCAAGCCTGGGGGCCAGTGGCGAGGCCTTACGCAAGCTGCCCCTGCTTGCTGTGCCTTTTGTCATCGGAGTGACGGCGCACACGACTTCTATCCTGCTCCTGGACAAGGGAACTAGTACGGCTGGTCTTTCACTCTCTGCGCAGCTAAAGGCAACGACCCTTCTCTGGTGCAATATCCGGAGGCTGGAGCCCTGCGGCTCCCGGCCCGCCACGGGATCAACGCTGGGATGCCAGCGCCGCATCTCGTTCGGTCTAGGTCGCATCTCGAGAACCCTGGTCTTCTGGCTTGTTGACTGGTCGATATCCGAGATTCTACTCTTCCGGACACTGCGCTCCCTCCCTCTCGGGATCCACAGCTTTGCGCCCGACAAGCGGACCGTCCTTCCGAGTCCCTGGACTTCTCCAGGGCTCGCATACTCGGACTATGTTCTCCGAGCCATCACGAGCATGCACTGGATATGGATCACATACTGCGGCTTGACGATGATGCACCATTTGTCAGCCGCACTCTTCGTCTCGGTGTTGAGTTGGGAATCTCCCAGCAACTGGGCGGGACCACCGCTTTTCGGCTCCATCTGGGATGCCTACACTCTCCGCCGCTTCTGGGGCGTCTTCTGGCACCGGCTGCATGTCGTTCCATTCGCGGCTTACACGCCGCCTCTGCCCAAGGCGCTTCGCGCTCTGTGGGTCTTCTTGCTTTCTGCGGCTGGTCACGCGCTGGTGAACTGGGTCATGTATCGCAGGGGGTATGCAGCATCCGAGTTCTCGTTTTTCGTCCTGAATTGGGCCGTGTGCTTGTGCGAACATGTTATTGGCGTGGATGGCGGGAGGATGTCTGGCAGACTCGCCAGTAAGCCCCCGTCGACGACTAGGCGAATCGCCGGTCTCTTCTCCGTATGGCTGTTCTTCTTTTGTACCGTACCGGCGTGGCAGTATCCTGAAGTTTATGACAGGTCCTGATGTGGGCATCATGAGTCTCTTTCCTAGCTATCCTAGGCAGGTTCCCATCTTGCACAATACTATCATTGCTGTTCTGGCACATGCTCTATGGCGGGTGCTACTCTGTCGTGTTAATCTCAACGTTTCCCATGAATACCCCGCTCCATTCTTCCTATTCAACACACCAAGGAGGGCTGTAACCGTAACTCTCCTCGTTCACTTTATTTACTTTCACTTCCGAGATTGCACACTCCTGTGAAGCCACCAGAGCTGCACATATCAACCGATTGCAGAATTGTCGGATCTCCCGAAAGCACCATGACCGAACCCCGTGACTCGACCGAGACGTCTCTGCCACCCTACAACGCGGTCTCGCAGCCGTATCAGGAGGTGTGCCCCCCCACAACTCTCGTCATAGAAGGCCAGTCGATCCACGCTCTAGCGGCAGATTCCCCGCCACTGTATCATCTCAGTCTTGGTGTCTCAAGCCTTTCGGATATCACCACGGAGGTAGAGCTCTCGCGCGTTGAGCCGAAGCAAGATGGCTCGGGACGCCAACGCCATATATCTGACTTGCGATATATGCGCTCGGGGCCTGGTGGCTACGTGAAGCTGCCGTCCGACTCGCCTCACTACTTTATCGAGCGTGCAAGCCGTCGCGTCCCGGGCCTTCAAGATCTTGGCCTCAAGAAAAGCCGCTTGCCGGGAAAGGCATGCGCGACTGTTCTACCTGTTGACATAAGAGGCAAGACCAGCAAGTACAGCATACCCAATTTTGTCAAGGACAGCGCCCCTGTGTTCAGTATCAACAAGAATAGGTGGGCGGATGCGCAAGGGGCTTTGATTGCCTCCATGCATGATAATAACGAACACAGCCTGGTCGTCACGGCGGCCCTGCCGCGCGCCCAGTTTGACATGCTCGTAGCACTGTGGTGCTGCAAGGTATGGGAGTCTGAAGTTGCCAATGCCGAAAAGGTGCACGAGGGGATCGACGGAGGTGAGTAACTCAGTTAGATATGTACATTCCAACACGTCGTTTGGTCGCTGACTTGTCATCTGTGTGTTTAGTGAAGAGAAAGATGCGGCTGGCAAGGGAGTTTGGCATGAGTCGCTCAACCAGTAAGTTGCCTGCCATTCATCTGCGCCGGCCAGTATCAATCCATTAACATGGTGTTCAGTGGGACCCGGAGGAGCGTCAGGGGCATTTTGAGTTAGCAGGTACGGAGTTCTGGATTCAAGATACAATCAGAGTTTCTAGAAACAGATATATCGCCATTGCACTGCCTAGTTATTGTTGGACCTTTGAACCAGCCCTTTCTTTGCAGGCCAGTGAATTCTGAAGTCGATGGGGATAATGATATGGGCTGTCAGTTTGGCGCAGAGGCTTCAGAGGCCGGCACTATGGAAATGCAAGTCCAGTGAAGGAGGGGCGTGTGGTTTGATTCCAAGCCGGAGGAGGTCGTCAAAGCAGGTTGGATGTCTTTCGACCCGTCTCACCCAATCTACATGACAGACATTAAAACCGTTGTCGAGACAGCTGCGATAGACAACACGTCCCAAGAAGCCCGTAGAGAGCCAGCAGCGTTTTTGTCTCTATCACCCGTCCCGGCACTGTCGTTGCTGCTCCCACCAGACCGCGGTCCCTCAGCTACGTCGCCGGGGCCAGCAGCCCACGCGAAGCCCGACAAGACCTTCTCGGAGTAGCCAGGGGTTGACGTGTTCATCGTGCCGTCGTCGTTGGCCGTCGAGCCCTTGACATACTTGGCCCCGTTCCACTTCACGTCCGCCACCGCAGACCACAGGCTAGTCATATTGGTCAACGTGTCCCAAGTATAGAATAGCTTGCAGTTGGCCGCCTCGTATTGGAATTGCAGGGGCGCGCCTAGGTCGTCGTTGGGATAGACGTTTGCGGAATTGACAGTCCATCCATCTGTGGGGATGCCGGCGAGCGGCGGGTCTGCCTCAGCGAAGGGCGTTACTTCGACACCCTCGGGCGGCTTGACGGGGCCGAGGGCCGGCCAGAGCTTCTGGTAGCTTCCCAGCGCGATGACTGGGCCGCCCTTCGTGCCGCCAACCGCCTGCATGGGTGCATCAATAGGACGTCCACCCATAGCAACGACCTGAACACCGAGCTCACGGGACATTATACCAACGATATAGGCGCAGGCGGATGCGCAGTGACCGTCAGTCACAATGATGGTATCCTCGGGCTTGAACCAGGGCTCGGGGATGGTAAAGATGCCCGGGAGTCCATCGGCAGCATAGGACACCTCCAGGGGCTGGATGATGTTGGTGTATTCATCCTCGCCGATCTTCTCGGGGCCATAGAAGCTGCTCCAGTCCGTGAAGTTCTTCAAGTCCTTATCGAGAAAGCCGCTGGACCCAACCGGGTAGGGCATGGTCTTGACATCGGCGCCCATTTTCCCAAGCATGGTCCCGACCCAGTTCAGGAGGGGGTGCGCACGTACGCGCATCTTCATGTGCGCCTTGCTGTTGTTGAGGAAGAGGGTGGCGTACAAAGATATGGCATTCCACGCAAGACCTCCACCATTACCCTGGAGGTCAATAATGAGCCTGGACTTGCCCTGCTTCCTGCTGGTCTCAACGAATTCGGCACTGACGCTACTGAAGTCGAGGAGGTCTGCGAGAACATCGGATGGGAGGATGGTCCCGCCGCCTGTTTGGTTCGGCGATATAAACAGATTGACAGCAAGGACGGCGGTGTCTTTCAGGGCTGACTCGTTAAAGAGATAGCCGCTCTGGTACCTGTCCTCGTGGATGACGAAGGCCTCAGGGTATCCTGCCAGAGCCGGTGCGAAGCCCGGCCGTACGTGGCGGATGGGCACTTCTGTCTCGCCGGTCTTCCCAGGAACCTCGAAGCGCTCGTGCACGGCCTCGGCGGAGTTGATGCCGGAGAAGTTGGTCGCCACCCAGGCGATATTGGCGATGGTTGCTTTGGTGGCGTTGGCGAACTCGATCACGCTTTCGTCCGCGAGGGTGGTGTACAGGAACTGACGGGCCCCAGTAGTCTCGAGGACGTTCGTCAGGGCAGCACTGTACAGCTGACTGTTATACGCTGCGTCAGGGTCCTGGTCTCGGGAGTTGTCAACGGCTCGCTGCTGGACGTGGTCGACAATGGGAACCGAGTCGAATCTGACGACCTCAGAAGCAATATACCCTTGCTCCACACTTTTCTCATAATCGGCTAGCCCGGGGTCAGCAGGTCTTGTTCGTCAAATAGGCACAGGGTCATCCATCGTCTTACAGTGAAGGTAGATCTTGGGATTTGCGATACCGTCTTCGGAGATTGACACAAAGAGAGCGGGCGATTCAAAACTGAATAAAGTGCCTATCACAGGGGTAAATACCAGATGGCCGTCACGGGGCTTGACATTAATCAGCCGATACAGGTCGCTTGCGAAGTCGAGCTGTGACTGGTAGCCACCGGCCTTCAGTATCTGGGTGATATTGGCGAGCCCCCCAAAGATATCGACGCCGGGGTAGAGATAACCCTCCGGGGGATTTGCAGAATGCCGACAGTGCTCTGGAACTCGAGCCATGGTCTGAGGTATTCGACAAGCGCAACGTCTCTATCAACATCGACCGGGACCGAGCGCAGGCAGTCGAACGCCAAGGAGGGTCTCACCGCAAGTTTCTCTACATGCACCACGCACGTGAGTTCGCGTCCGCCATCGCCGTCGTGCACACCTCGTGGGAAGGTTACGGTTGACATACCTGTCGTGTTGTCTAGCACAGCCCCGTCGTAGGCCTTGCCAATCTCTGCACAGGCGTTGCTATTTGCTCGTCTCCAAAGTGGGCTTGAAGCCGAAGGCGCGGCAACGGCAGGGCCCGCAAGGAGCAAAACTCGCACGAGGACCCCTACGTGATGCAACATTCTGTCGTCGATGTGGCGAGGAGATCGCAGTTGACAATATCGCGGCCCACGTTTTCTCATCGCCTGCTGGGTTATTGGCCTTTTGTATGTCCTGCCCGGCAGCTAGCGAGCTGTTCCCGGCAAGCTCTAGCCGACACGGCAAACCTTTCCTATGGCCCCAACAGGCACGGCCGAGGGAATTATACGCTGGATGGTGTTGGTGCATCTTGGCAGACGTGGGTGGGTGGGTTCTGTTCATCGTATCGTGGTGGACGGGATGCTGGAGAGAAGATGCACGGGGCAAGGTTCAGGTCATCCAATCGGCGCTCGCCCAGATGACAATACTGGATCCGGCTGGGGCATGTTGCGAGCCCAGGGTCTGTAGGCTGCAATCAATGACAGTGTGTCTAGTTCGTCTTAGACGAGTGCGACTCTGCATACAGATCCAGTTGCACCACGTGGGTTGTCGAGCGAAAGTAGACTCCGTCACTTATCATCACTTTATCATCAGTGATGTATACTTTCTCGTAACGGTTCAAGATACGGCCATTGACAGTTTTTCAATCGCTGCATCCTTGATTGAGCGAGATGATGGCTGGTTTTAGACTCTCTGTCTTTGTATATCACCCAACACCCTTGGATATTTGACTGCTTTTCCTCGTGCTATCCAATTCGGAGGAATACCGCGAGAATTCATGAAACAACTCATTTGTCACTTCATTCCAGCTTCTTTTGCTAAGAACTGGCCAAAGGCTGGGCCAATATCTCAAAAAAAAAAAGGACAGGGGCATGTTTGGCGACAAATCAAGGACGATTGAATGTTGAGCAGGCAATAAATGACGTCAAGGCGAAAATCGAATACGAGAAACAAACACGAATTCGAAATGCTTTTCTGCAACGAGCTGTTGAGCAAAGGATTTGACACACTGCTGTTGCGATGTATAGGATCGGAGGACGGGTGGTGGTGAAATATTATTTCGGCCTTCTCGTGAACATGACCAAAGAGCAGCTCCATGACGCGTTCATTTGCTTAAATCGTGGTGAAAGTCTGGGAGGTCATTGTGCTCTAATACAGGAGCACAACCAGCATGCTCTAAGTGCACATAATCCATAGTAATATATGTACATGTACTTGATTATCCTATTTCATTTGTACTTGCGCGCCAGCATTTAATTCCCTTGAATTGATGTGAAAGGTAATAAGTGAGCTCCTGTGGCTTAATGTAACCTTAATCTCCAGGACATATGTGCACATAAACCGACTCAAGGTCAGCTAGCCCTACCAGTGGTCCTTGTCTGCAGTAAACATTACTGAACAAGTTGGTATGGTTGCTATGGTATAAAGCGCAGCGCCCTTTCAAGTGATAGTAGACTACACTATATGAGAATTCAGGGTTAATCTGACTTGATGTGATTTACACTCTCTTCTAGCGAATAGCGAACTTTACTGCAAAGCAGAATCACAGCAAGCGAATAGCGTTCGCTAATTTTAAGGGGTTTATTCTACTGGCAGCTGATGGGGTATCTACAAGTTTACGCAAAAGAAATGTCACTAAAGCCCCTAACTTTATGAAAGTGTAGTTAGACTTCCGGTCTATACATTGGTCCATTCAAGTCTGACGCCCTTATACTGACTAAAGAGATCACCTTCACAAAACGGGCAATAACGAGCCCGTATGGGACATTGGTGTTCTGGCGTTTTGCGCATGCGTGCAGTGAGAACACTAAAGTATTCAGGAGTCTTCAATCAGAGCATAATATGCTACGGCTTTGAATGAATGTCATTATGTGAGTTTAGCTGCGTTTGACACTCTATAATCTACCGAAAAGACGAGGGAGGACAAACAGGTAACCTGTGATGCTCTACTCTGTGAATAGAAAAGCTTATAACGTTCAATCTCTGGTCTATTAATATAACTTGTGAAGTGGAAATATTTATAACGCCCAAAGAATCCTCTCTTTTCCAAATGCTGTCAAGTAAACTCGGAAGTCTTTCATCCTTTCAAAACCAATATCCCACTCTAACATCCTAAGTCTGGACGATACGGTAGTCACCCTGGATAATACCGTTCAAGATCCATGGGGTGCATGTGTGTTCCTCCGAGGTACGGTCGCCACTGCACGTCTCCAAAGTGCCCTTAGTGCAGCGGTAGACAGGTGTGAAACCGACCCGGCCAGTCTCTCCGGCATAGACAGTCAGCTCAGTCTGGAAGCCCTTGCTCTCGGAGTCACTGAACTCAAAGCCAACGGAGACAGAAACAACGCCAAAGGGGTCACCTAGCGAGGCTGAGAAAGAGGTGGTTCGAGAAACGGATTGATCGTAGGTGATGGTAATAGTGCGTTCGGTTTCCTCAGCTGGGATAGATCCGGACACAATCTGAGTGTCGAAGGTGGTGAGGTAGGGCTCGCCGTTAGCCTGGTAAGACTTGCTCTTGAAACCAGTGCAACGAGCTTGGTGGCGAGACTCAGTGGCCTTCAGCGTGTTGCCCTTCGGAGGAGAGCCGACTGCGAGAGGCTCGATAACGGTGCCGTTGGCGAACTTGAGGTAGCCACCCTGGAGTCCGCTGCCGACGCTGCGTCCCTCGGTGTCGCGGCGACCCCATGGTACACCAGCTGCCTTGCAGTCACCAGAACCGCAGCAGAATTGAACCACTAATTTTCATTGTTAGAATTTGATTCAAGACTGCAGATTTTTTTTACCTACTGAAGGTATCCTCCATGCGAAGCTGGCTAGAGCATTCGGCATTCTCGGTGTGGTAGATCAGATCTCCGCAACCAGCTGTAGTCAAGCTGGCTGGGGATCGGACCATGTAGCTACCGGGCTGGCCGCCGCAAGGGTTGATGAAGTCACCCCAGACAAGATACTTCACTTTGCCGGTGCCCTCTTTGAAGCCCTGACCACCAAAGACGGTGTTGGTGTCGTAAATGACACACTCAGGGTATCCGGGACCACTGCTGGCGATGGAGGAAGGGCAGTCATTGCATCCCTCAGACTTACACCAAGAAACGTCTTGAGCAGTAGCCAGGGCAGCGAACGCCGCAGGAAGGATGAATGATTGCTTCATAGCTGAGCTGAAGATGAGATCAAAGTACTGTTGATGGGGTGGAAGGATAGACTTATGTGTTGAGATAATGTTGTGGATGATGAGGAAATTCCGAATGATAGTGTTACAGACACTCATCTTTATAGTTTTTTCGCATGAGCAATGATCTATTCGAACTGTCTAAACTCTGAGAAGTTATGAATTCATGATCGTCCCCAAAGTTCTTTGCGTTTGCCTAATGCTTTCAGCTTATCCACATCCTGAACCGGGGTTAATCTGACAGTTGTTGATCTTGATCTTGAGCCAAAAGTCTCTCTAATGTTAGATCAGGCTACTAAGTGCTCACAAAGCTCTTCTGAAGTTGTTGATCGACTCCAAAGTCCCTTTGGGTGACCCTCTCGGCAGCTCCACATTTCCATCAGGGGTTTCCGGCAGTTGTCGATCTTGGGCCACAAAATCTACGAAGGGTTGCATCAGGCTACAGCTTCACATCAGCCCCACGCGACGCAGCGACATAGCCTCTCCAGGCTTCCAAAATTCTGTTTGTGGTTGAAAGAAGTGATGCCGGAAATAGAAGATCAACACGCAGGTTGACATTCGACCATAGCAAAGGCTGAATTTAGGTTTTTGATAAGACTATATGCCTAGAGAAGCCCTTTTTCGTTGGATATTGCAAGGAGTGGGAACTATTCCTACGATTACAGGGCTCGGCCGATGAAGGCGCCACTTTTACAGGGCCTAACTGGCGGAGGAGTCACTGAAGACTTCACATCCATCCCACCTGGCTGATCATCATTGAGATCATCATCAGGCTCGAGGCGTTTACTTGGGACCCCTTGAAGAGACGCAGGCAACAAAATATCACTAAGTCGCGAAAGGGACTTTGGTAGATTTATTTGGCAACTCATTCGAGATATTCACCGACTGGAGTTCTACAAATACTTAGTCTCTCGTCCGCCTTTCCAAAACAATGCAATCTGGCCCTCATCAACCCATCTAGACATCTCAACCCCAGTCTCTCTCTTCACTTCTTGTCTTCACCAGCATCAAGTCCAACTCCAGCATACCAAGACTTGTAATCATGGTTTCTATTAAGCAACTCGCTACCTTCTTTTCTTCGGCTCTTGCCGTTGTGGCATCGCCTACTTTCCGCAACTCTAGCGACAATGTCAAGGATATTTCTGCCCGTCAAGCTTCGCAGATCCCTCCCAACTCTCTGTACCTCGTCGAATGGTACCCTAACGGCTGTGGCAACGGCAACGGAGTTTCTCTGGCCGGTCACGAGGAGACTCTCGCCGTTTGCTCCAAGTTCAACGGTCTCTATGACCCCAACGCCGCCGACTCCGCTTCCGTCCGCTTCTTGTTCCCGGACGACGGCCGCACCTTCAAGTGGCGCCTCTTCAGCAGCAACACCTGCAGCACGCAGATCGCGACCGGCACCGGCGGCGGATGTTTCAGCGTCCCATCCAACCAGAACGTCGGCGCCATCATTGTCTACACCTAAGATACCCAGGCCCTGGAGTTTTGAGCTTTATGTTTGGATTTCATTCTGCGTGTGCGAGAACGTTCAGGTGGAGATAGAAGTTCGAGGAAATCCCCGGGAAATAGAAAATTTGATTCTTAACTTGAGAAATGTGAACTT